AAGGTAGAACAATGGAGCGACTGAACCTGCAAAGAATAATCATGTTTCCTCATATATCGTTTTCTGCTGCGCTACACCCTCTTACTCCTATCTGCACCACTGATGTTACTGACCCCCACGAGTACGACCCCCCATGACCCAGCCTGACAAGTACGACCCCCCCCCCCGGTCGAGGATTTCCTCGACCGATATTCACCTTGGTGGGAGGTGGTCTGCGAGGGAAAGCAAACGAAACCACCGATTACGCCCCACACAGAGACCTCCCCTATTTCAGCCGCATTCCACCTTGGGATAGAGAAGGCGCGTTGGACGAGTTTCACGAACCTAACTCTAGTTGCTCCAGTGCCAATAACATTGGATCGCAATGGGACCGCTGCCTCAAATGCGCCCGCGCTTTTCAAGCAGCGCAACCGACAGCGGAGGGTGGGGCTTGCGGACGAAGGTGTGAGTTGCGGGTCGGACGAGCTCCTTGCGCCTTTGTCGCGCACTTTCAAGCGGCAAAAGGGGCGCAACATCAACGCTTGTCCACCTCTGTACCACCCCCGGTACCCAGAGCGTGCCTTCAAATGAGGAAGAAATGATTTCAACCTGGCGCTGCCCTTGACTCCTCTTATCGCAGTTACTTTCGATCCGCAAGTCATTCGATATGTGGTTGTGAATTGATGGTCATAAGCACTGAAGACTGGAACATTGCTTGACTTAACGTTGAGTGGCGTGAGTATGTCCTAAAACATCATGTTACGACATTCAAGGAATGTGCAAAAGTGTTATTACTCAATTTGGAGTCAAAACTTTGGTTTGCGTGCAATATTGCGTTAACGTGTAATAACTCACTCCTTTAATTGATGGTTCACTAACTGCCACTTTTCTTCTTAACTTCTTTTCGTCTCTCGTACTGGGATCTGCAGAACGACAGACGCTTATGTTGGTAAACTGAAATCGCTGTGAGAGTCACTCCAATAGCGATCAGAAGAAACTGATCTAGGCTTACGATAAACGAGTAAACCAGAACGATTCTCAGCTGCATACTGTTGACAAGAACTATGAGAAGATAGAGACCATACTTCACAGTTGGTCTTATATAGTCTCGATAAGATACTGTAGC